GCAAAGGATAGGTACCCACGATACTTCCCCTAAACTAATCATAGGTGGTGACATAATTAAACAAGTTAGCTCAGTCAAATCTCTGGGTGTACATATTGACGAAAACCTTTCATGGAATATGCACATTGAAAAAATAGCCAAGAAAATCGCATCGGGCATTGGAGCAATTAAACGTTGTAGGCCTTTTGTTAATCGAACCACGCTTGAGTCCGTTTTCAATGTCTTAGTTCAACCGTACTTTAATTACTGCAGCGAGGTCTGGGGGCATTGTAACAAGGGTCTTTCGAATAAGCTCCAAAAGTTGCAAAACCGGGCTGCCCGTATTCTGACCTTCTCCAGTTATGACACAAGCGCTTATCCTCTTTTTGTGCAACTTAACTGGAGACGGTTAGATACTCAGCGACAAATACAAGTGGCCACCATGGTCTATAAATCTATACATGGTCTTGCGCCCGACTATCTTGGTTCTCTTTTCACTAAATATGATCCTCCATATAATCTAAGGAACTCTGAAAACAAACTAGCTGTTCCATTGCCTCGCACCAATTTCCTAAAAAATAGCTTTAGCTATAACGGTGCGGTTATATGGAATAGCTTGTCCCCTGAATTGCGGCAAGCAAAATCACTTCAATCCTTCCGAAATGGTTGTCGCAATTTCTTCCTCTGAATCGACAAAACACACACGGCATCTATGTAAAGCAGAATTTCCTTATTTTTTTCTATTTTACTTTTAAATTTTAGATCATGTTTATATAGATTAAAATAGATTGTAACTGTAATAATAGATTGTAATAATATTATTATTTTATCTGATAGATTTACCGTGTCTAAATAAAAATAAAGTTCAAGTTCAAGTTCAAGTTCAAGTTGTGTTTCCAAATGTACTTACAACTCACAAGAAGAGGGTGTATGAAAAAGATATTAAAAAAAGTGGTGTGTTGTCTTTGTGTTGGTGTGGGACAAATAATACAGAGAGGTGCAAGAGTAGAAAGTATGTGATTGCTGAATTATGCATTTGGGAAACAATTCTAAATGTTATGTTTCCAAAAAGTTGATATTTTACGCTTACCTACTTGCAACTTACAGGAAGGGTGTATGGAAACGATATTAAACAATTTGGTGTGTGGGGGTTGGTAGGTGCAGGGGTACAAATTAATAGAGAGGTGCAAGTGAAGAGAGTTCATAATTGTTGCATAAGAGTACATGATTGTTGTTTTAAGTTTTTGAGAAAGAACTCTTAATTCATTCAAAGTTGATATTTTGCAGTTGTCTCATGTTTCATCTTTACCATTAAATTAATCTCTATTATTATCTACTGCTCTATATATTGATCCAATAAGGGAAGCCTTATCAGAAAGGGGTCAAAACAGAGTGAGAAGAACTACTTTCAGTCATTAAATTCAGGACCAGGGGTGGTAGGGTTAGCTGAACTGTTACCATACCTCCCTCCCCTTCCCCCCCCCCCCACTGAAAAAATATTGTCTTATCCCATCTTCAAAATATACCAGAGAAAATTAATGACCACTATCACTTCGAGAATACTTAAATCTTGTTAATATACCCTCAACTTGGTTCATATAATTGGCATGACTACTGTTATTGTTTCCAGTGGCTAATAAACAAGCTTTCTTGTGCACCACTGACTCGTGTTATTAAGGCTACTATTATAGTCTACTTTCAAAGATTTTAAATCAAACCTTAGTAAAAGATTCCTGATTATTGTTACTTGTTCTCATGGTAGCCTCTACAGAAGTGTTGCTGTTTGGAAACATATAAAATTGGGCCACCAACTGGTGATACATGTATTGTAATGTCAACAACTAGCTATGCAGCTAGTACCTGTTTTATGGTATCACTATGTAGCTCCATTAACATGGCTGAGATGCACTAATACGTGCTTAAATCAACTGGAAGATATTCAGAAAAGGCATTTTGTATTACAGGTCTAATTGAATTGCTATATTTTCCAAGGATTTTGTCCTTCAGTAAAGATATCTTGATATTCAGTTCTACAATCCTCACCAAGAATTCTCACAGTTTAGTTCCACTCTCTAGTCCATTGTCTCCAGTTCTATACCCTATCTATTTAGTGTGGTGGAGTAGAATAGGGGATATAGTGGTTCTTAGGCTTTTGCCTTACCACAGGAAACACAAGCTAGAATTTTCTTTTGATTTTTTCATTCACTCCATCAATTGTCGTTGCTGGTTGATATCCCAGAGCCAGTTAGTGATTCTTTCCCTGATCTGATCTGCCTCGCCATCTTGCTCCACACTCCCCCTCTTCCTAATAAGGTGCAGTTTTTCAATGTCCAGCCTCCACCTGGGTCTGCATGGGTCGTCTCTTGCAATGCATATATTATGCAAGGCTATGCAGGCCATTATGACATGCCTTATGTTCTTTAGTTTACACTCTGTCTTCTTGTGGAGGATTCTCCTCCCTTTCAGCATACCATATGCATGCTCTGACACAACTATAGCCAAGCAAAGCCTCTTGTTTAAGTAGCGCTTTCTTGGATCTCTTGTATTTTCATTGTACGGCTTTATTAGCCACGTGTAGTGCAGAAATGCTGAATCACCAACTGTTGTGATCGGTATGTCCCCGTACTCCCTTGTTTGTAGCACAGTATTTGGGAAAACATGTCCCTGCTGAATCTCGGCAAAGAGGTCGCAACTTTTCAGAAGCCTCGAGTCATGGACAGAGTCAGGAGCCCCTACAGCTACCCAAATAAACCTCTTATTAGAGGCAATAAATCCCATGCTGGATACTGAATATCTCTTCTTGAAGCTAAAATAATATTTAGCTCATTCACACTCATTGCACAATGAATGAGTATTGTGAGGGGCCAAGATGTGGACACTTTTTGTAGACACTTTTTGTAGACCCGTTTTGTAGACGGAAGTGAATCGGACCAGAAGTGATTTGTGATGTTCCTCACCACCCCTCCCCTGTTCGTCTTAATTAAAGTCCAAATAAACTTCGAACTCGCTCCAATCAGCAAGTGCAAAGAATAAAATAAATCACAATAAATGTTTGTATGGTCTAATAATAAATAAATCAACAATAAGTCGCAATTTTGCAACGTCTTACGAGAAGCCGAAATGTTTGTACCCTAAACAGTTTTTTGGCACACGCATTCGCTATCACGTGGACGAGACGGACCATCGAGGCAGCCATAGTGGATAGTTGCTAAGGTTATAATTTTGCGTTAAATTGCATTGGAAAGTCGTGGTAAGTATGTAAATCATTGCTTTATTATTGTGCTTTTCCCTTAGAGCTCTTCAACCTACAACGCACACATCAATAATAGAGGCCAAGATAGTCACACTAAAACATTTGAGCTCCTGTTTCAGCCCAGACTTGAGGCTCGCTCGTACAATAACTGCTGTACAATTTACTTTACAATTTGCTTTACAATCTGCAATATGAACCACGAAACAATCTCTCATTTAAAACTTGCTTGAGATGGCTACCAGTCACATTAGATCAATCACAGGAAATACTATCCAGTTTATCAAGACGAAGCTGTCCTTCTTCGCCAATAGGATTTGCTTGCTCTTTTCCAAACCACAGGCAGCAATATCGACCTCAACAACACACGTGGGCGAGTTAAATGAATCACAAGTTGAACACATCAGCATCGAGGGAATGACAACTTTCCCTTCGCCGAACGTTAAAGAAGCCTCAGTACAGGTAAAACGTAAAAATAAAATACACAGATTTTGCTTTGATACTTATGTTAATTTGTAGGCTAAACTTCAGAATACCCCGCAACTGAAATGAACTTTCAAATCCTGCTACCGCAGTCCTGCAGTCGACATAATTTACATACTATCTATATATAAACCTCACGAAATATACCGCTTTCGATTAACAATAAAAAACTTTGCCACCCTTTCAATTTACTCTCACAGAAAAAATCCCGCCCTGCACATCAAATCAAAACACGAATTTGTTGCCACCATTGAAATCGGCACGCTTCTTTTACGATTATTTCAATAGCCTTCACATGACAATTTCAATCATTTGTATCACACTTTCCCTGTAACGTTGACATCAATAGTGCTGTCAATTACCCTGTAACTGGAACACAATAACCTGTTTCTAAACAATTCATTTCGCAAACAAAGAAGCCCAGATTTGCAGTACCACCTTTCCCACAATTGCTCAAATTTTGAATACAAATGAATGCTGCACCGCCATTGATTGGTTGAATCTGTATTTCCACCAACACTACTCCCTAAGGACTATTCCCTGCTCATTTCAGTTTACTTTCAGTCGATACTTATCAGTCTAACAGTGAGCATCAAAATGTATGCAGTAACAAAACTCAACAAACAACACGAACAAACGTGGATCAACCTTCAAAAACGACTCAACACTGTGCAGTTTCAGTATCAGAAGCTATTTCACAACTCAGACGTGTACGATTTTGTTAAGAATAAGGTAATCTCGGTTGGAAGCTGCGAAGGATACTTTGTACCATCGTTGTTAAGTACAACGAGCTTCATACTTGCCTGGAACAACGCAAAGGTCAATGTAACAACTCACAAGCAGCCACTTAATATATATACTATATTTGTTGGATATCCTGGGACGGGTAAGTTCAACCAAAATCAATTTTAAATATCTTTTTACTTCCCCTTGTACCTCGCATACGGCGCGCCAGTGCTTCCCGCACTTACACTCACTCACAGACAAAAGCAAACAACTTCAATTAAATACACTGCAATTCGGTTTTTAATATCTTAATATTCTCTCATACAGGCAAGTCTTCTGCAATCCAATATGCTGCCCAGGATCCACTGGAGCAACTAGACCTCACAAACGCCATTATCAGCAAGACGACCTCGTCCGGACTGGTCAAACTGCTGGCGAACAAGAAAAAGGCCATGATTCTCTCACCGGTGCTGTTTGACATCTTGCACAACCTACTTAAATCCGATGAGGAGACCGCATCTGGTGACATGCAGCTACCACTACTCTACCGAAGAAAGCAGGGTGATCCCTTTGAATACGCCTTTCTGCCTCCTTGGATCCACGCAACTGGTGAACGCGGCCAAATCGATCACTCGCATGAACCAAGGACACGGCCTGGTCGACAGAATTCTTCTCGCAACCCCACTTGCCCTTTGCCCGACCCTTACCCAAATGGAGAACGCCACTGATCAGCTATCAACCGAAGTAGTGTCTAACTACACTGAACTGTTCAAAAACATTAATGGAGTGGACGAGAACGTGGAATTCATCTTTGATGATGAAGGCAAAGAACTTCTGAGGGAGAAAATGGACCAGTTTGTTGCGGAGGGCAAAGTGCCGCCTAAATTGAAGACTCCGGAACTCATTCCCAGAGTAGCCTGCGCCCTGCAAGTGTTTAACCATGCCATGACAGAGCTGTTGACCGGTGTTCCGGCGACACAACCAGACCCTACCATTACGAAAGCAACCCTGGAGAACGCTGCATCCTACGTAACTCACCTAGAGATGCAGAAGGAAATACTATGTCAGGTGCGCATTCGTAAAAAAGAAAACTTCCTTTCTGGATTAATTACCTTTATTGCGCATACATAACAATTATGTTCTAATTATTAGCACCAGACTCTTGCCGTGTTCTAATCACTGATAGAAATTGCGCGCGCAAAGACCAACAATCTATTTAGTGATAACTTAGACAACTTTACACATTTCGGTCTGCTTTGAGTTTTGAGTTGTATTTATTTCCTCTAAGCAAATGCTTTAAAGTGCTGGAGCCAAAGCGCATTCCATTTTTATTTCAGTGCAAAACAAAACCAAAACGAATCAGAAATCACTGGCCAATTTTTCACATGCAAATTTCAACGGCTATACAGCTACATTTACCTGTTTCCCCGTTATTTTGGTTTTTAATTGGTTTCTTTCTTTTTTTTTTCAGTTTCTTAAAGAAGTCACCAACTCAGCATGTGACAAAACCATCGAACAACCCTCTACACAAATGGTCCGTGACAACGTTTTAATCTCCCAAGGTCCAGTGGTGGCATATCGCTCCTTTAAACATGGAAAAAGATCAGCCCGAGAAATTGCCAAAGATGAATTCAATGCCGCCACGGAGTCTTTGATGCAGGATGGTTGTGGAAGAATTGTTGAGTTCCGCGTTCCGCGTGCAAGAAGCACCTGCAAGGTATTTATAAAGAGCAAGCCAAATCCTTGGCCAAACAGTACCAATGTCAATTCAACCGAATTCAACACGGCATTTGCAAAGCCATTGCATAATGACATTATGGCACCAATGAGAGATTATCTGCAAACGAACAATTACATAACAAATTAACTGTAGCAGTAACAACTCCGTTTCATTACGAAAACGAACATGGACATATAACTTTCATTCATTTTCTTTACATTGTTCATCAATTAATTCCGGTAGAACACCATTAGTATTATAAGGAAACGTTGTAACATTTTAACGCATAGTAAAGAAACTATAGTTTTACAAATAGCTTGTACTAAATGAGTGATGAATCACAATTCCACAAACATGTTATGTCAATCTTTTTTGTACTATTAAAACAAATTTATTGCATTAAATATCGCTTTTGTTTTGTTCACTTAAATTATACACTTACCCCATAACTTGTTCATCCACTACGGGACTGCGGACCGCGGTAGCACTTAAATTATACACTTACCCCATACACTTACCCAATAACTTATTCATCCACTACGGGACTGCGGACCGCAGTAGCACTTAAATTATCCACTTACCCCATAACTTATTCTTCCACTACGGGACTGCGGACCGCGGTAGCACTTTAGTAAAACACTGCGGACCACGGTAGCACTTAGTTTAATACTTATTCATTCACTTCGGTTCCGGGGACCTGTAGATTTAAAGAGGGCGAGTCAGTTGCAGGGTATTCTGAAGTTGCTCCAATTTGTATCAACATAAGCTAAGGCGAAAAAGAAGTAGAGCGGTGTCAAGAATTCCCACAACCCAAATAAAGTGTGTTCTTCAAAAGAGTAAAAAAGTTATAATTAAAGTGCAAAAAGATGTCCGAAAAGTTGTGCCACATTCATCAAAGCTTCATGCATACTAAAGCAGGAAAAGCAGTGTGTACCATAGGTTAAATAATGAATTTGTTCCAATTTCTGATCATAAGCATAAATCAGCTACAAAGCAGAGGTTGAATTTTAATAAAAAAGATTATCAATCTAAATATCATTGCTTTACAAAACAACAGAGTTCGTTTTTGCTTTTTGTACAAACAAGAACCCCAAAGCACAAAAAATATGTTGCGTTTATTTATACTGATGAACATGGTTTAAAGAAATTGCAGTGCTCTTGTGTACAAGTTCTATGGGTAGCTCATCGCAGAATAACAATAAGTGCTGATGTAAAGAAGAATCCTGGGCCTTTCACTCAAACAAATAATGACAAGAATGTACCTTGTACCAAATCAGTCAATTCAGTTTCATTATTGGAATTAAGATTAGCTGAACTTGGTAGAGATCCAGTCAATGTATTAGGAGATGGGAACTGTTTCTTCCGTGCAGTCTCATACCAGCTATATAACACCCCTGAGTATCATTTGTATATATGCTTCCTTGGAATTCAGCATCTTCAGCATTACCCTGAGTTGTATATAGAAAGCAACTATGAACAGTCTTGGCAATACTATGTGCATAATATGGCAAGGCAAGGAACATGGGCAGATAATATTATAATTCAAGCCGTTGCAAATTCTCTGAATGTCACTATCAATATTATAGAGTCAAATGCAAA